TGACCGGCTGCCTATCAGGCTGGTGTTTACTATTGTCCACTCCTTTCCTCCTGGCAGTGATGTTTCTCCATTCTGTCATTTCCAGCACTGCAGATCCACAGCTGCCGGTATATGAGGTTAAGTGCGTGACAGACGTGTCATTATGTGAGTTGGTGACAGAGCGTGAAAAGCAGAGCCATTCTCAGATGTGCAGGGTTTATGAGGATGACCAGACGCTGAGGTTGTTTCACACTGACCCTTCAGATTCCTTCCTCATACAGTAACCTCTGACACGTCCAGATTTACTGCTCTGAAAACACTCACTGGAAATCAGAACAGTGATTCAGATACTACTGAGGTAGATAGACAGGCAGACAGGCAGGCAGACAGACAGACAGACAGACAGACGGATAGATAGATAGATAGATAGATAGATAGATAGATAGATAGATAGATAGATAGATAGATAGATAGATAGATAGATAACAATAGGCAATTAGACAGACAGACAGACAGATAGACAGAGAGATAGATAGACAGACAGACAGACGGGCAGACAAGTGGATAGATAGATAGATAGATAGATAGATAGATAGATAGATAGATAGATAGATAGATAGATAGATAACAATAGGCAATTAGACAGACAGACAAATAGATAGATAGATAGATAGATAGATAGATAGATAACAATAGGCAATTAGACAGACAGACAAATAGATAGATAGATAGATAGATAGATAGATAGATAGATAACAATAGGCAATTAGACAGACAGACAGACAGACAGACAAATAGATAGATAGATAGATAGATAGATAGATAGATAGATAGATAGATAGATAGATAGATAGATAGATAGATAACAATAGGCAATTAGACAGACAGACAGACAGACAAATAGATAGATAGATAGATAGATAGATAGATAGATAGATAGATAGATAGATAGACAGACAAATAGATAGATAGATAGATAGATAGATAGATAGATAGATAGATAGATAGATAGATAGATAACAATAGGCAATTAGACAGACAGATAGATAGATAGATAGATAGATAGATAGATAGATAGAGAGAGAGAGAGAGAGGGACAGAGAGAGAGAGATAGAGAGAGAGAGACAGAGAAAGAGAGACAGAGAAAGAGAGAGAGAGAGAGAAAGAGAGAGAAAGAGAGAGAGAGAGAGGGACAGAGAGAGAGAGAGAGAGAGAGAGAGAGAGACAGAGAGAGAGAGAGAGACTCCCTGAAGGGCTGTGTCTGATCTCTGTATCTGTGGTGGGTCCATAGCAGGTTTTAATACTGGCCCTCAGTCTCTGCTGTGATCAATAGAGCCTGGGGAAGGCCGGCTGCACAGTGGGCAGGCGTGGAGCCTTTATTGGATTATGACAGTAAAGTGGGTTAAGTAGCTTAATGGATGGCAAACACACGATGGGCATCGGTCTGCCATGAGGCCACACTGGGGGACTTAACAGAGTGTCCAGTCGCTTGAATGGACAGAAATAGATGTGGTAGATATTGAATGATATTGACAGCGCTATAATACAGTAACAGGATGATGAGTGAACATGAATTCAGGGAGGCATGCTGTGGAGCACTGATGACCTTCATTAACCCGCATTTCAAACCACCCAGACAGAACTGCTTGTGACATTGTTATTATACGACAACACCTCCAGAAAGAGGAACCTGTGGTTCTGGAGGTTTTATTTAGTTATTTATATTCATATCTCCTCAGCCTTACAAAAAAATTGTATTTATATATGGAAATTGCATTTTACACACTTAAAAAAGATGGTGCTTCAAGGGTTCTTTAGTAAAGAAAATAGCTCTGTTTAGATCCATGAACACTCAATGGCCTGCTTGCATGATTAAAGGTTCTCTGCATCAAAACGTTCTTCAGATTGATGGAGAATGTGCATAAAACTATTTTGAAATGGTTCGATATATATCACCCAAATAGCTTCTTCTGTTGTTACAAGCTTAACCTGGTAGCAATAACAGAACCCTTTTGGGTGCTGTACAGAACACTAGGACAAGGACACTACATTTGGAGAGAATTAGGTTTGCCTGGAAAAATACATTAGAGGGATTTAGAAAGATGTGGAACGAATCGAAATCTTGTTTTCCCAATAATCTTCCATCAAAATATCTTCTGCCTATAAAGTATCTTCTGTTTTGTAATAACATTAACCAGTAATATCATGTTCCACCTCCCCCTCCCACCACCTCCATCTATCACGGAGAGAACGCTCAGGTAGTTCAGAAACCCTCCCGGAGGCTGTGTTTAACTTACAAATACATCACGATATGGAAGGAAAATGAGTTATGATTTCCTGTTCACATTGACTTTAGGAGAATATGTTATTGAATATTATGGAAATGACTAAAACTGATGAATTATTCAATAAAACAGTTCTTGGCAGACTTATGGAGATGAACCCTACTGTACCTGGCAGATCTTTTCAAAGTGATGATACTACAAGCCGTGAAGGTCTGAGAAGTCGCGACTCAAACACATTTTCCCGCATGTCCTTCATTAGAGGCTGCTGCAGGAATGTCCCGTCCTGTCGAGGACCTCATTTTTCCACAGGCCTCGTAAATAAAAGCAGGGGTGTGTGTGCTATCTAAGTGGAATGGTTGACCCTTGACTGGACCCTGTGAGCTGCCAGACGTCCAGATGATTTATTATGCTGTTTTTCTGCTTTGGACGTACTGTATGTGTGAGATAGTTTGGTATTACAGCTACCACTTCCGCTGCAGTCACTTGCTAGGCCTCAAGAAAAAACATAGTGTATGAAAGAAGGTTCTTCTTTTTTTAAAAAGAAACGTTCAACTGGTCTGAATATTTTGGTTCAGTATGGCTGTCTAAACTAGTGTAATTCTACAGCAAATGTTGGTCTCTTTTCCCTTCTCTGCCACCATCGCATGTGGTGTTCCTCAGGGCTCCATAATAGAGCCTTGTCTTTTTTCTACATATGCACCACATTTTTATATAAAAATTGGAGTTAACATTTTCTAAAACTTCTCTTCCACCTCAAAAAATACAAAAAAAACACTGGAAGTGTCATCCCAGCCCAAGCCATAGCAACTCATGCAGTCCACACTATTGACATCATGGTTCTAAAGGTGTGGCACCTACTATTTTCTATATTTTTTAATCAAAATGTTCACAATGGATGAACAAAAAGATTTTAACGACTCATTAAGCTAACTTTGAGGTTTGTGTGGACACTACTATTACTAAATAACAGACTTAATATCTTAAGCTTTAAAAGGGTTCATTGTTTATCAAATTTAATCTGTCCATTATCTAAAAAGAAGCGTTTATTTAGGAGCCCCTGTAGAGGATTACATTTGGATTTCAGACCTTTACACTCTCAGAATAAAGGTACTAAACTGTCACTGGGGCAGGACCCTCAAGGGTACGTCTCAGTACCTTTAGTCAGGGAACGTCTCGTCTCCAGGCTTTTCATTTTACTGTTCTGTTTTAAAACATTAGGTCATAAAAAGATAGAAATATGTATTTGTCCACTAGGAAAAACCTATTTAAGGATCACAGTTGGACCTTAAAACCACTGTTGCACCTTTGAGGGAACATTAACATTGTTTGTACCTTGATGAATGAGAAATGTACCAGCACAGAACCTTTATTTCAAACAGTGTAGGGTAAGAAGTCCCCCTGGACACTCAGCAGAAGGCCCCCCTTTAGCATATTTGGCAGAAAAATATTATTTAGCTGTCATCATAAAGACAAAGTCTTCACTGGAGTCTTGGGGGCTATCTAGCATTAGCATTAGCTGGAGCTGGGCTTTATTTTTAGCTGTCTTTCTTGAGATGAGGTCCACATTATCATCCACACCTGATCTGTTCTGTCATGTTTAACAATCATTTAGACTTAATGAAATTGAAATGATGAAATTGTGAATGCAAACAAATTGGCACAATGTTGAAATGCAATTGTTTAAATTAAATTGTTGTTATAATTGTATAATAATTATAATATGATAAAAATATAGCTAAATGAATTTACATAATATCACTGATTAATTAATATAGTTATAATAGCTATTGACAATGTAAAAAAATAATATTTCAAATGTTTCTGTTTTGCTATCATTTGTCTGTTATCATAACTTATTAAAATGAAGTGGAATCATTGTTTATGGTCAATTTATTATATTTTTTAAAATTCCACTCTGAATAATAACATAATAAAAAAAAAAAAACTTCAAAGATTAGAAATAATTAGAGATAAATGTTACATATTTAGTAAAACCTGGATGAAAACCAAGATTTACAAGGGGGGCTTCTTGCCCCAATGTAGGCAACATCCCCTTTAAGATATATACATTTTTTTTATTTACAGTAAAAATATGCTGTGTCTGCTGTTTTAGCTTAATCCATCTAACTGTGTGTGGGTTCATGCATCATCGTCCTGCACATGTTAAACTCATACACAAATATGGTTTCAATTTACAGTACATGGACACTGCACCCCAATATTATGCTATATGAAATTTTGGACTGACCAAAACTTACCCTGAATTTAGAAAATACTCGTTTTGCCATATTTCTAAAAGCATCAAATATGAAACATGAATATAAAAACATAAAAAAGTGAAATATAATTTGTTTATTTTTTAAGTGACAAATTAACACATCTAAAAAATAAGGCATAAAATATTTAATAACATTTAAGACATTTCATATATTTTCCCAATATGTTAAATTCAGCAAATAAACTGGCCACTTGACCATGGGTGCCTAAACTTTTGCATGCGACTGTATTTAGCCTTAATGAACAATGAAATACTAATGAATACTAATAAAAAAAGCCTTAAAAGGTGTTATTAAACATCATCAACCCAAAACTACTGACCAAACCTCCCAGAGAGCGAAGTTAGATGAGCTTGGGGGCGTGGCCGCCTGGAGAGAAAGAAAGGCGCACTCGCCTCTGACTGGTGCGGTGGAGTGTCAATCATAGCGGCTCTGCCCACCGACTGCGCAGGCGCGCCACGTGAGAGCACCCTAATAGTATTACAGCGCACTGGAGGGTCAAACTTTCTTCAACCGCTCGTTTTTCAGCTCCACGCAGCCGGTAAGAGTCTCTCTCTCCCTTCATTCCTCCAGAAAATACACGCTGTGCTAGAATAGGATAAACTGCACACTTAAAGGGTTCTTTAGTAAAGGTAATGGTTCTAAAAAGAACCATGAGTCCTGTATTAGAACCATCTGCATGCTTGAATGGTTCTTTTCATGGTAAAATGCTTCTTCAGACTAATGGAGAATGTGTTGTATATGGTCCTATATAGAACCTTTCTGAAAGTGGTTCTACATGACACCAAAAAGGGTTCTTCTACTGTTACAAGCTTGACACCATAACAGTTGCAGAACCCTTTGTGGTGTTACAACCACATGCAACACATTCTCCATCAATCTGAAGAACCATTTCACCATGCAAAGAACCCTTTAAGCATGCAAATGGTTCTATACAGGACTCATGGTGCTAAGTAGAACCATTCCCTTTACTGAAGAACTCCCTCCAGGGTCCTGTCTAATCTGTTAATGCTGCTAAGTGTGCAGAAGTCCCCTCGTTAGGGGTTTTGCACCCCAGGATCCAGCAGATTAAATGACGTGCAGAAGTGAGAGTTCACATTCACACCCAGGAGTGTTAATCTGTTTAGGTGTGCAGTCTAATGTCATCCCTGAGTCGGTGTATATCGCACATAATCAGTGCCAAAGGTGTCTGAAACTGTACCTGAGGGCTTCTTGGCCTGCTTTTCAGACATTCATTTGCCTTTAAAGGGGAATTCCACTGATATTTTCCAAATTTCTGCATAATTTAATGGTTAAGATGTAAAGAAAATCAGTCAGAGTGGTTTGGTGTGAAATGCTCTGTTCTATAGAAACACACAGGGTCAGAACTCTTCACAGTGGTGGTGATAGGAACCAGACGTCCACCTCTAAAACTTCCCTCACAGAAGGTTATTACATGAAATTGTTATGAATTCATTGCGATGGACTGGCGACCTGTCCAGGGTGTATCCTGCCTTCCGCCCAATGACAGCTGGGATAGGCTCCCGCACCCCACCGCGACCCAGAAGGATAAGCGGTTTAGATGATGTATGTATGTATGTATGTTATGAATACACTGCCTGAAACATTGATTTATGATAGTTTTGACAATGTTTTGGCCAAAAATGTACTTTTTAAAATCCATTCAAAACGCATGTTGGTTCACTGGTGCTTTTGGATAGTAAATAAAATGTCTATATTTATGTTGTAGACATGGTGACCCCTGGTTCCTATCAGCACCACTGTAAAGACATCTGAGTAATTTCACATCAAACCACTCTGAATGACTTTGTTTACATCTTAACGGTTGAATTATGCAGAAATTTTGAATGAAATCAGTGGATTTCCCCTTTAAGCCCAGTGTCAGGGGCCTGAACTGCAGGCCCTTTCACCCACTTTCCGCTGGATTTATTGTGCTGCTATTTATTGTTTCTCTTCAACACCATGTTAACAGTAGCACTGGTGTACTGCCATTTTCACTGCACCGTTTGGCAAAAATAAAGTGTACCACATTTTATAATATTAGAGCAATTAGAACGTATCCACTAAAACACTCGTATCTGTGATTTCACAGTTAAAGGGGAATTCCACCAATGTTTCAAATTTCTGCACAATTCTGTTGTTGAAATGTCAACAATGTCATTCAGAGTGGTTTGGTGTGAAATGGTTGATTGTAGAGACTCAGATGTCTTTACAGTGGTGGTGATAGGAACCAGGGGTCGCCATGACTACAACACAAATATAGACATTTTATTTACTATCCAAATCCACCAGTGAACCCACACTGGCCTTCTGAGTTTTATATGTAATGCTGATGATGGTAAAATAGTGATAAATCTGACAAAAAGGTCTCTTGGGTGCATGAACCTCTCCACTGCTGAATCTATTTGGAAAACAATAATAATAATAACCATGTCTCAGACATCAGGCAGTGTGTTCATAACTATTTCATATAATAACTTTCTATGAAGGAGCTTTTAGAGGTGGACGTCTGGTTCCACTGTGACTGTAAGTTTCTCTAGAACAGAGAATTTCACTTCAAACCACTCTGAAAGACTCTGTTTACATCTTAACCATTTAATTACAGAGAATTTAACACCTCTTTCACAGTCATAACTGTTTGTTTATCACAATAGCCGTGTTCTGCGGGGTGTTTTGTTGCTGTGGGAGCAGATGCCGCAGGAGATTTGTTGCTCAAGGCACGGCTGATCAGATTAGAGCAGATTAGAGGAAACTTCTTCTCAGCTACAACTGACTGAGGAGTCCTGTCCTGACCATGTGGAGAACCCACAGTTTATATCAGTTCACATATCATAGTCATCATCGTAGAGCTGTCACAATTACTCAATTTAAAGAAATAAACAATTGAAGTTGAATTGGCAGTGATTAGTTGGCAGTTTGCATTATGATAATGCATATTTTAAATTCTCCTACTGCTCTCTCTCTTCAGAATAACCTAATAGATGCACCCATGCAGAAATGCACATTCGTTTTTGTGCCCCATAGTGTTTTTATATTTTATTTTTGTGTTTTTATTCAATTCATTGTCAAAAATAACAGGATTACTAATTAACCTGATTACTAACATAATTGATAGTGACAGCACCATAAAAGACTGCACCTGTCATTCACCCATTTCTGTTTGAATCATGAGGTGGCTTCAGTGATGTGTTTGCAAGTTAATAATGAAATACATTTTTATTTGTAAGGTTTTTATCCAGTGCCATTTGCATTTGATTGTTGTTAATGATAAGGATATCAAATATTTAAAATAAGGTCAATAATCATATTTAAAAGAGGTCAATAGAAGACTGTGGCATCTTGGAAAGACTTCAACCTGATTTAACCTTTCTAGACTTGTACTATATGCTGAGTTTCAACTGCTTTAGTTTTGAAGCATGGTCGAATGTGAAAGTTTGTGCACCCCTGGTCAAATTGCATGTTTTGTTGATTTTCTGAGTGTAAATAATTTAACACATCGTCTACATAGAACACACTGAAATCTGGCATTTTTGCAAGTAGTAGAGGAAAATTTACATTTAATTGCTGAGTTTAACATACTGGAAAAAAATGAATAAAACATAGAATATAAAATATGTTAAATTCAGCAGATGAACAGTAATTGTGCATTAAAATGTGTAGTTTGTGTGTGTAAGTGTGTCTCTGTAGAGGATGTGTTCACTTATTTACACTTAGAAAATCAACAAAATGTGTCATCTGACCAGAGGTGCACAAACTTTTGCATATGACTGTGGAAGTGTAGCATTATTACACAGCAGTGTGAAAAATGCATCTGAACATGGATATTAAATTCTAGCATGCAGATTCGTTGATTTCAGAATGTCAGACTCAATTAAAGTAAGTTATTATAATATTTCATATAGTATAAGGGCCATATTCAAGCATTAAAACAGAGAAAACTATGGTGTATTGTTTGTATTAACCCTGAAAATCCCAGGCTTATTACATATTAAGGCTTATTGTTCAGTAACTAAAGGGGCTTCAATGCAAACTGGCTGGGCTATTCTTATGTTATAGAAGTGTGTAATAAAACTTTGGGCCTGAGGGCCATTTAAATAATTACGCAATTATTTTTAGGGTTGTAACAATATAAAAATAAGCCATTATCCATTATTTTTCATGTACACAAGGCAAATTTCAAAATTGGTATCACATATCAGATCAAATATTAGGATAATCAAAAGCTGAATAATCTGTCATCTTGCATCCCAATATTTGTACCCAATTGTACCAATATAATCAAACTGTGGTGAAAACTGTGGTGACTTTTCCAAAAGAATCATAAAGAGGTAAAAACTGTGCACCACTAAATTTGCCACGTCATTCTGTTTATCCAGTCTGTCCAGTGTGTCCGTAAAGTCCGGCTGTGGAAATGACGTCACCTGTTGGCGGTCCTCAGGGACAAAGTAGACGGGGTCACAGTGGGGCTCCCTCAGGGCTGCAGCTCTGGGTGACCCTCTATTCTTAGACACAGCTCAGGCCTTCAGGAATGCATGAAACAGCAGGGTTAGCTTACTCATCCCTCCACGCCTGTGGCCTCTACAGGAGCTTTAGATTTTCTGTTGTAATGCCACTATTTGATGTTTTGTATAGTAACTCCACAAGCAGCCCAGAGGAGGATGTGTTCTCCATTTGAGTCCTGGTTCCTCAAGTGATTCTTCCTCATGCTCTTAGAGAGTTTGTCCTGTTGAGACTTGGTTCTTCTCAATGGTTCTTCATGCTGTTAGAGTGTTTTTCCTTTTGAGTCTTGGATCCTCTCAGTGGTTCTTCATGCTCTTAGAGAGTTTCTCCTCGGAGTCTTGGTTCCTCTCAGTGGTTCTTCTTGAGGCTTTTAGAGAGTTTGTCCTGTCGAGTCTTTGTTCCTCTCAATGGTTCTTCATTCTCTTAGAGAGTTTCTTCTTTTGGGTCTTGGTTTCTTTCAGCTGTTCTTCCTCATGTTCTTAGCGTGTTTGTCCTGTTGAGTCTTGGTTTCTTGTTGTACTTCTTCTTGATGCTCTTAGATAGTTTGTCCTGTTGAGTCTTGGTTCCATCTCAATGGTTCTTCATGCTCTTAGAAGGTTTCTTCATTTGAGTCTTGGTTTCTTTCAGCTGTTCATCCTCACTTTCTTAGCGAGTTTGTCCTTTTGAGTCTTCGTTCCTTTTAGTAGTCCTTCTTCATGCTCTTTGGGATATTTTCCTTTTGAGTAACTTTCAAGGACACTGTACACAAAAGATTAAATGAAAGATAAAAAATCCTCTCAGTAGTTCTTCCTCATGCTCTTAGAAAGCTTCTCTGTTTGAGTCTTGGTTCCTTTCAGTGGCTCTTCCTCATGCTCTTAGGGAGTTTCTCTTTTTGAATCTAGGTTCCTCTCAGTGTTTTTTCTTCCACTCATTAGGAGGATGGAACAGTGTAGAAAGCCCTATACAAATTTAAGTGAAATGGTTCGAGGTTTAAATTGAAGAGCTTTGTTTGCATTCGGCTGCTCTGTCTGAGTGGGATTTCTGCCCACTTCCTACGGCTCTTGGTGACATAAAGCACTCCTAGGCTTTAAGGAGAAGCTCACAGCTTCTGAGTAATTCCCTTAGAGGATGGTCAAATTTAAAACTGCATAAATATATAATTTGCTGTCACTTTAATGACACATACCTTCAGCTCCTGTATTCAGTGTCAGATTTGGACTGACTATGACGTCCAGAATGCGTGTATGAGTGGTTTGACTGTGGGGGCAGCCGTACGTGCAGCGTAATGCCTCTCAGTGTTCTCAGTAGACGGACCATGTGGTGTTATGTGTGAAGCAGATGCGCAGGGTTGAGTCAGCAGATGGACGGAGACAGGACGGCTGCAGTCTGCCTCACTTTTCATGGAAAGAGTAAGAGGAGACTGAGGACCACTGAAACACTGAGACCCTTGCTGGCATTTCACAGTGACGCTTCTGTGGAATTGCTTACACTTGCCTTTAAACTGAACTTTAGGATTTATCAGAGACATAATGGCAGACTTTATATCAGTGGAATTAGGCATTATATGGAGTTATTAGTAAAACTTTACCTTCATAAGGATTTACAACACATGCATAATAACGTATTTATTAATCAATACACTACAATACAGTCAGCCACTTCATTAAGGCCACCTCCTTGTTTCTGCACTCATTGTCCATTTTATCAGCTCCACTTACTATATAGGTGCACTTTGTAGTTCTACAGTTACAGACTGTAGTCCATCTGTTTCTCCGCATACTTTGTTAGCCACCTTTCACCCTGTTCTTCGAAGGTCAGGACCCTCACAGGACCACCACAGAGCAGGTATTATTTGGGTGGTGGGCCACAGCAGTGCTGCTGGAGTTTTTAAACACTGTGTCCACTCACTGTCCACTCTATTAGAAGCTCCTACCTTGGTGGTCCACCTTGTAGATGTAAAGTCAGAGACGATAGCTCATCTGCTGCTGCACAGTTTGTGTTGGTCATCCTCTAGTCTTTCATCAGTGGTCACATGACACTGCCCACAGGACGCTGTTGGCTGGATATTTTTGGTTGGTGGACTATTCTCAGTCCAGCAGTGACACTGCTGTGTCTGATCCACTCAGACCAGCGCAACACACACTAACACACCACCACCATGTCAGTGGTACTGCAGTGCTCAGAATGATCCACGACCCAAATAATACCTGAGCTGTGTTGGTCCTGTGAGGGTCCTGATAATTGAAGAACAGGGTGAAAGGGGGCTAAGAAAGTGAAAGAGATGGACTACAGTCTGTAATTGTGCACACTACGGTTAAAATTGTGCTGAATGAAATCAGGGATGTTTCAATCATGTTTCAGTAAAAAAAATAAAAATAAAAAATGAAAGCTCAGAAGTCTCGCACCAGTTGTTGAAGGAGCAGACGTTAGTGAGAAGTATATAAAGAACAGCCAGTCTCTTGGGGTTAGCCTTTAGCCCACTGTGCTTCCATTTATTTTTTGCATGGCTTCCATCGGGCAGCTGCTTCAGATCAGCTGCATCTGAGAATGTCATGGTCTCGGGGGCTGGTCCTAGAATCAAGCCAACAATCCACAGATTATCAGATGGTACTGCTAGCATGAATGACTGCAATATTTACGAAAGTCCAGCAGTGTCTGATCCTCAGATATGTAAGCACAAGTGTACAGGACGCACCTATGTGGCAAATGACTTGAGAAAATTGTGAATGTGAAAAAAAAATTTAGCATTGTTTTTGAGTCAGACAAGTTGTTGTGTGCTTACCTGTTTGCATCATAGGTTTATCTGCATCGCTGCTGTCAGAAGAAAATCTCCAAAATGGTCACTTCACAGGAGAAGGAAAACATTTTCTTAACTTTTAATGAAATTTAAAGGAGAATTTTTGCATTCCCACTAATTTTGGATCAATATTATCAGTAGATTCATCATGAAACTTGGCCACAATGGCTGTGTTTACATGCAGAGATTTTTGTTAATCCCATTGAATCCACTCTGATTATAGATAAAGACTGAGGTGCTTATATGCTCACTTTAAATCTCTGTTTAAAATCTTCAAATCTCATGCACACTACAAGTAACCTGATCCAAAATTACATGCATGCATAGAGAACCACTTAGTGTAGATGTTACCGTGACAACAAGCATCACGTGAGTCCAGTCAGAGTGAGATGAGCAGCAGTGAGCAGTGCTTGTGTTTTAATTACTTTAAAATGATGTCAGACTCAGGAAAACGTCCTTCACACGTCCTTATTAAAGAAGGTCGAGAGAAAGACGTCGGGTTCTGAGACACATAAACTGGACGTCCATCCCACCGCCGTCTTTTAAAGATCACAGCATGAACTTCGTCTCCTCTGCAGACCAGTTTCTGCTCCGCCATGTTGAACGGTATAAACTTTCGCTGTGATGCGACACATATAAGAACATACTTAAACTTTCTGATAGGGAATGTAATCAGATACAGGTGTTTACACGGATATTATTCTTCTATTTAAGAGATTATTTACAGGATTACCCACCTCATTCAATCAGATAGAAACTGTATTGTGAATGGCCTCAATCGGACTATTCTATTCCGATTGATGTGTTTACATGGACGTATTCTATTCCAATTGAGCTATTAGTCGGATTATTGATGGATTATTAGGCTGCATGTAAACATGGCTATTGTAAAGGGCAGCTAGTAAGGATGAATTACAAGGCTTTGTCCCGAAAGCGATAGTATATTGTTCAGTCATATTTGTATTATGATGAACAAACAAAATTTTAAATTTACTTCCGTTGTTACATATGATTATTTTGAAATGTTATAGGAAAATGACATAAAAATAAGGCACTGTAAACCTACAAAAACAGGTTTATTTAAGCATCTAAAGTGGTTTTATTTGAAAAAATTGATAAATACACTAAGATGATGTATGATATCATGATATTTACGGAAACCGCCTGAAATTTTAGTTGTGCTGTGATGCACGTTTTTGTCCATACCACCCACTATTATTTTGTTATGTCTAGTTTTGTCACCTTGCTTATGTCATTTTGAATGAACTGTTTCACTGTGGTGTGTAACATGCTGCTTCACTGTAGTGCACTGATCTGAGAGGCTGAATGCTGAATGACTGTGAGCTCTTGCCTCAGGCTGACCCGGTTGTCACTGAAAGCCAGCAGCGTGTGGAGGTCACCCACCCGTACACAAGCAATCAAATCCTGTCAGGCAGATTATTTTTGGCAAATCTGTGCGCTCGTCCCCCCAGCAGTGCTATTCCTGGTGTGGCAGTGAAGAAGAGGCTGCTGATCTATGAACAGTCACTGCAGTGGATCCCTATCGGTTTCAGCTTATGGAGTTTGACCTACGTCAACATACTTGATCATTCATCAAACAGCCTGAGACTGACAGAACATATGATACAAAGAAAAAGCGAGTGAACTGCTATTGTGAACAAGCCTTGAAAGGAAAAGTTCAGCGAAAACTCAAATACACAGTTCTCCTCCAACCCTCAATCAACCAAGACATGCTTGGTGTTCAAAGTTCACTTCTTTGGCCTTTGCAGTGGTGGTGATAGGAACCAGGGGTCATGATGTGTACAATCAAATACATGCAGCCTAAGCTTTGGAACACAGCCTATATGTTTCTTTGGGATTGAGCATTTCATATCAAACTACACTGGTTGACTTTATTTACATCTTAACCAGTTAAATATTCAGACATTTTGAAAAATCAGAGGAATTCCCCTTTAAGTAATCTCTAATAGACTTGCTTATATGGTTTATGACTCTGTTTGACTTACTGTTATCTGTAAAAATGAACAGAAGTACATCACCTTGCTAAAAACAATAATAGCAGCCATTTGGAACAAAGAATTTGGCCCTAACCTTTGTCCATTTAGCTCTAGTATAAAACTGAAGAAGCAAATTTTGGACTCCACCACACCAGCTGGCATAAGGAGAAATACATTTTAAATTAGATTTTTTCACCCAGCTATTCCTTTAAATGCATCTTAATAGCAAATAAATGTGTTTTGTTTTCCTCTCCAGAGTCAGGATGGAAGAGGCAGAGCTGTTAAAGGAGCGACTCCAGGCCATTACGGTAAAGTGGTCTTGTACTAGTCTGGCTTCATGACTCTGTGCTTTTATGTTATTCAGAAAACAAATTCAATTCGATATGAAGTTCCATCACTTTTCATATTTGGGTTTTACTGTTTACTTTAGCCACTAAAGCTTGTTGTCAAAGTGACATCAATAATGCTATTATATTAGACAGCTAGCAATTAACTTATCAAGCCCGCTCATGTAAGAACAGGTACCTTCTGAAAAAAAGCTCTGTTTTCGTCATTGAACTGTTTTGACATCCGTCTGCAGGATAAAAGGAAAATCCAGGAGGACATTGCTTCAAAACGACTGGAGATTGACAGGGAGAAATTAAAACTTCAGCACCTCAAGGTACCATTGTTGCCTTAATCATGTAAACAATTTAAAAGCTTTTGACAAAACGGCTGGTATGAATTTGGAGAAGACAGATTGCAGCAGATGGGACTTTATTTATATATATAAGTCAATAATATATATTTTGTGTCAACTGTTATTGCAGTTTGGGTCTTTGCAATACTGATGTGGCAGAATCCTTCAATATGCAAATGAGCCCTCTAATTAGACCTTAATATACAGTCAGGTCTATAAATATTTGGATGCCAACAAAGTTATTGTTTTGTTTCCTACAGCATATTGGAGTTGAAGTTAAATTATGAACGTGAGCTCAAAGTGCAGAATTTCTGCATTCATTTGATGGTATTTACACCCAAATCAGATGAACATTGTGGGAATAACAAGCATTTTCATGCACAGGCCCCCCATTTTTAAGAGCTCAGAAGTGTTTGGGCAAATGGCTGCTTGCTGTTCCATGGCCAGGTGGGAATTATGGTCTCATTATTTCACCTAAAAGTGGGCAGATAAAAGATCTACACTCTTCAAAAAGATGGTTCTTCAAGGGTTACTCAGTAAAGCAAATGGTTCTATATAGAACCATGAACACTCAAAGAACCCTTTGCATGATTAAATGGTTCTATGCATCATGAAAGCGTTCTTCAGGTTGATGGAAAATGTGTATGAATGTACTATATATGGTGCTATATAGAACCTTTTTTGAAAAGGGTTCTATATAGCACCCTAAAGTGTTCTTCTATTGTTACGTGCTTGACATCGTAACAATAGAAGAACCATACAGTACATTTTCCATCAATCTGAGGAGGAGTTTCATCATGCAAAGAACCCTTTAATCATGCAAAGGTTCTTTGAGTGTTCATGGTTCTATATAGAACCATTTTCTTTGCTTCAATGCAAACTGAGACATTCTTAGCTGTAGTAAAGGCCTGGCTGAGCATCCCTAGGGAAGAAACCCAGCCTCTGGAGATGTGTTTGGGTTCCAGACTTCAGGCAGTTATTGAATGCTAAGGATTTACAACCCAGTATTAAAAAGACAGTTGAATTCATGATTGTTAGTTTGTCCTTACTCAATTACTTTTGAACCCCTAAAATTGGGGGGGGCTCTGTATGAAAATGGTTGTATATAAATGCTCTCAAATTAAAGCTGAGATTCTGTTCATTATTGAATTTCTACTCCAATATGCTGTGATATACAAAAACAATAACAATTAATTTGTCAACATCCATGCATTTATGCACACGACTGTATGTCATATTCACAATATGGAATTCTGGCTGTATTAAACAGCCATAATGTAATGCATTAACAGCATTTGCAAACTTCCTTTGTCGCACGTTGGACAGAAAAAGTCTATGAGGGATCTGTGGCTGATGGACGGTGCGAGCGCTGGAAATGCTCAGGAGGCTCAGAAAGCTCAGGAGGACGTTCAACAGACCAAACTACTGCAGAGCAACATCCACCGGTGAGCATCAACAAAGCGCCGGTTCTGCCATCTTACATTTTTCTTTACAGCTGCATTTTATTTCCCCTGAATATCCTTATCACATTAACCAGTCATAACATAAACCACACATATGTAAATGAGCTCTGTTCTGATTGGTGCCCTGTATTGTGCTTCACTAAAAAAGCAGTCGGGGCTGAAACACTCCTTATAACTTCAGTGTGAATGGCCGTTCAGCCATAGACTGTTTCGTATTCTGTTTAAAATAAAGGACACATATCTTACCAAGAACTATATGCTGTGACAATTATAACAACTATATAATAGTGGATAAAGGCTTGTGCAAAATTGTTGGCACCCCTTCTCAAATGATAAGTTTTGTTGATTTTTAAGGTGAAAATAAGTGAACACAGCCTCTACAGAGACACACTTCTGCACATTTTAATGCACAATCACTGTTTATTTGCTGGATTTAACATATTGGGAGAAATAATACATAAAATGTGGCCTGTGCAAAAGTTATGGCACCTTTTATGTTTTATATTTTACTTTTTTCCAGTGTGTAAAATGTTGCACAGAAAAAAATTGTGCACAGAAAAATGTCATATTTATGTTTGTACCCTGTAGATGAGTCAACTATTCACTTAGAAAATCAACAAAGCAGTGATAACAGTAATTTGACTGGGTTTGTTCAAACTGTATACGTAATTGTTGAAACATCTGATGTAGTAGAAAAAAAAACACCTTTTTATTCTACCAATTTATAAACAGTTATAACATCTTGTTTGTATATAACAGCTGCTCACAAGAATGTAATATATGTAGCATTACAGAGCTTAAGAGATTTATTAGCCATTTTTTTTCAATACTGTACACAGGGTCAGCTTAAATATGACTAAACACAAAGGGAATGCACACCAACCCACACTCTAAAGTCTCTGACTGCCGCCCGTATCAGAGTACTGTGTCATCAGATTCCAGTATTGCTTTACAGGGCATCTGTTGCTGATGAAGCCATTTGGACGGCTACATTGTCTTCCAGCCATTTGCCCCTCAGCACTGCCTGCTTTCATGCCAGCCAGTAAGAAGGAAGCATGAGGCAACAGACGTGCAAGTTACGCTCATGTCGGAAAAAATGGCCCACGTGTGGAAAGCTATTGCACCCTAGTTTGGCAATAAGGGATCTGGCAGACGCTGACGTCCCCCTCATTCATGAGTTTGTGAAATGACTGAGACAGATGATAAGACGCTAAGGGCCACGCCACGCATATCTCACTCCAATGAGAGTGAACTCGCACAGCATCAGCACATATTTGCTCATATTGCGTCTTGCAACAGCCTCGTGCTAGAGGCCTGCCAGTTGTTGCTTGTCCTCTGGGGCAGTGCCACCCCGAGCTCATCCCACTTTGTTAGTAAATGCCAGGATGATGGGGTTGTGTTTGAAAGAAGAAGTGCCAAGGGTGACTTACTGGCACGCCAGCACTGGTGCTGCACCAAAGCCCAGCCAGTGTGTATCTGAGTGTTTGGAGTGATTGTTTTTGTACACTTTTAGTGTGAAAATGTATTGAGTTTGTAGGAAAATGGGAGAAAAACAAGGCTAACTTAGCGTATCAGGACCAACAAAAAGTTTTTTTTTTTTTAACAGAAGCTCCATGTTTTATTTTTTACATTTGTTTTTAAACATAAATAACAAAACCATTCCATTTTGGGCTTCTGAGGTTGCGATTAGGGTTAGGTTTAGAGTTTAGAGGCTTATAAATGTCTCATTAAATGTAAAAAAATTGTATTATTACATGGGGTATATATATAATACATATTTGGCATGTTATTACGTATACATTTGCATATTATTATTGCATTATGTGTAAAAGATGCTATAAATAAAGACTGATAAGTAAAGTCCTAAAGTTTATTATATTAATATATAAATGATAACTGTTTTTAATACCAGGCTGCCTCAAGGACAGGTTTGGAAAAGGTTAATGAGGCACATTCACATATAGAAAAATCAGTACTTAATATATTAATATTGTTTACATGTATTCTATTAATAGAGCAAACAAACACTTAATGCCCAATTAAGTAGATTGTTTCAGCTAAAACGTAAAACGTATGTATACTTATATGTATTACTTGATGTCCTGACATTGTAGAAAAACAAATGTGTATGCCAGCAGAGTGGGAATTATTGGATACACACAGCCAAACATTAATTCATACCCAGATTTTTCACATGACCAATATTCCTCTGTGTCCTGCAGGATAGAGAAAGAAATCGAGGCTCTGGAGAGAGAAGAGCTGAACATCTCCACAAACGAAGGCCTAATTCTGAAGAGGCTGAAAGCCATTGAGAAGTCCACTGAGGACATTATAAAGGTAAGAGGAAAGAGATTTCTGTGGATGGACTGAATGATATACTCACAATCTACCATAGAGGTCCACTACAAAGGAATACAGTTACAGACTGTAGTTCTGCTACTGTACAGTACTGTACTGTATCGGTACTGTACAGTTTATCACCCCCCCCCCACACACACACTTCATTCATCATTGTCAAGTTATGACCACAGGCAGATATTATTTGGGTGGTCATCATCAACAGATGGGTTGCAGTCACTAACGGTACACCAGCAAGGAGTTACAAGGGGGGTGTTTCTGATAAAGTGGCCGGCAATAATGCCCATTTGTTTGTTAAACAGAACACATGGAACTGGAAAGATTAACACTGAATATTCCTCACATTTTCAGATGAACAATAGCAGATTGTATTGGCAGATGGTATGAAGTGGGTGTCTTTAGCAGGAGCTGTCAGTGGTAGAAAAATTAAAACATGGTATTTTTCTCTGAGCTGCGTCCACCTGTTCACTTTAAAACCTAAAATCATATTTCCTTACAGGCAGCAAATGAAAATTTCAAATCAGGTAAGAAAATTGATAACTCTTGACACACTTACCAAATTTTATTTCTTTTAATTGTGTGATTCAGTCGTATCACTTACAGTACTTTTGTCATCTCCCTTGTAGAGCCAATCCATGTTTATCCAGGAATTCCAGACACAACAAAATCATATACACCTTTAAACCGGAGGAAACAGCCAACCGCAAATGACCAAGACACCACAAATGACCAACACAAACCTGGTAATTTACTGCTAGACTCATTCATTAATTGATTGACTTGATTGGCTTTATCTGTACTCTATGATTGTAGTTTTTTTTCATGTTCAGGTAACAGGTCAGTCATTCTATGCCAACTTACCTAGGGCCAGTCCAGTCACAACATTGATCTCTATGAGAAAATTCAAGCAAAAACTATAAAATTTCAAAGCTGTGCTCCAATTATTATTTTAGTTATGACTGTCAAAAAGTTTGCTCGATCAGGTTCTAGATAACTCCTTAAATACTGGGTTAATTTGCTTAGAGAATGACTGAACTGAGCTAAAATACTGACTGGGTACCAGACAGTCTCTTGCAGTCCCAACAAGAAATAAAGGAACATATTACCTCTTTAAAAACACATTATAACGGTTATTTTGGAAATCCAGTGTTTTTTCTATTTGAAGATTTTGCTATTTGTTTATAGTCTGCTTCTCAGATTCAGCTGTTCTTACTCCAGAAAAAAGTTTGAATGAAAGGATTAGTCCCTCTTGATAAAATGTAAAATAATAATAATAATAATAATAATAAGTACTAAATAATAATAAGAAGAAGATTTTAATGCTAAAGTCATTCTTATGGTGTAGCTTCAAATATTGCATGTAGAAATGAATAATTCACATATTTGCTAAAACGTAGAAATACTAAATAAAATCCATATTTTGTAAAAATAATTGTGAAAACTTACTGAAAGTTTACATTGAAAAGAAATGTTGCACAAATACATCCGATAAATTTAACAGTTGAGAATTTATTAACATGAAACTCGTTGATTTAAAGTGATTTATTCTTCTTAGTGTTGTATTTATAACCAGTTCATATTTCAGCTCAGTTCAGTCGTTCTGTAAGCAATTAATGTGAAATATTTAAGATGCAGTTTAGAACTTTATGGGGAAAATTTAAAAAATTCATAACTGAAAAACAAATTAGAGCACAATGAACATTTTTCATAGTTACATTAATGAAATTAAAGCTTTTCCATTATACAGTTTTACCCAAAACACCCCTGATCAAATGACTTGTTTTGTTGAGTTTCTAACTGAATTTTAATGCATAATTTCTATTTATTTGCTGAGTTTAATTTATTGGAAAAAGTCTACATTTAGTTTTTATTTACATTTTGTTAAATTCAGAAAGTGAGCAGTAAATGTGTGTTAAAATTGGCCGAAGTGTGTTCTCTGTAGAGGACGCGTTCACTTATTTTGACTTAGAAAATCAACAAAACATGTCATTTGACCACCCAACCGTTCTCATGAAACTGTACGTGAGTGTGATTTAAGTCAGCAGGCTTTCTTTCACTGAGTCCCTGCAGATATGCTTAAATTACACCTTTATTCCTTACTCCTTCAAAGAACCTTCCTTTAAAGGTTGCATAGTGAACTGAAGGTGGTTCTTCTATGGCACTGAACCACCTTTATTTATGAGAACGTCTCTCTTTTGCACTTGATCACGACATTCTCTCACATCCTCTCTCTCTTTCTCACACATAGCCTTGTTCGCCATGGAGATCAACGTGCAGAAGGACCTGCGAACGGGCGAAAGCCGCGTCATCTCCACCTCCACCGTCTCCACTCAGGAGCTGCAGCACAAGGGCATCAAGGTGTACGACGACGGCCGTAAATCTGTGTACGCGCTCCGCTCGGACGCCGTCCAGCCTGGAGCCAACGGGGTGGACGAACTCAGCCCAATGGAAGTGGAGGAGCTCCTTCGGCAAGCGACGGAGAAGAAGAAGCGGCCCCAGGAACTCGAGGAACCTCCATTCAACATGAACTACAACCGCTCACCGTCACCAAGCAAGCCTTACATAGACCAATGCTCCAACGGCTACCTTACAGAGCCTTATAGCGTGGAAATGACCGCATGGCCTGAGCTGGTGTACTGTGATAGTAACGAACACTATCCAGGACAGGAAATTCACCCACCTGCTCACATGTTCCACCACTACAGTGATGAGCAGGCTGAGTATTTTCCTAGCAACGGGAACAGTTATGGTCATGAGCTGTATCAGAGAGAGATGACACACAGTCATGGGCCGTTTTATGACCCCCAAGACCGTCAGAGAGGAGCTCTTCGTGTGGATTCGGAGTTGAACCACAGGCCGCCTTCGGCTTACAGCAACGACTCCAAAGTCAGCATCTTAAACGCTCTGCCTTCAGACGAGCCGGTCACCATGATCTTTATGGGCTATCAGGCCGCAGACGAAGATGCTACTAGCTACGAGGGCTCCGTTCGGGCCGAGCTCGTCGTCATCGGAGAGGGTGAGGAAGACCGCAGTGCCCATCCACACCAAAACAGCAACGCCAACAACGCTTCCCAACGCCAGGCCTCAGGCCAGCTCCAGACCACAGAGGGCGCCACAGGTAGCAAAAAGACCAAAAAGATTAAAGACAAGCGGAAGCGCTGCTGCATGCTAATGTAGCGCGGAACTGCCTCTTCTTTTGCTAACTCTTTCACGCTAACCGGCGACTCCTGACTCAACTCCTGGCTGCAGCTTCTCACCACTATGGCTTTGCTCTGCTGTCTTCACTTCTTCTGTCTTAACAAACTGTCAGTTTAGGTTGTTATTAGCACATTCACAACGGGAAACTCTGTCTCAGGGTGAATGCAGTGTGTGGTAAACATTTTTATGTGCTTTGTCTCCCCCTTGTGGTGCAAGTGTGAACATCTATGGTTTTCTACACTGCTGGTTTGGAAAATCTATTGTTGAGCTTCCAGGGACGCAGAAAGGGGTTTTTAAAATTTTATGCTACAAAATACAAAAAATTACATTCCTATTTTTTGGATAATAAAAAGGCATCATATTGCGCAATAATTTACACATGAGCTGAGAGGTGACCAGGCAGATTGTTGATATGTGATGTGGTGACCAATTCATACCCGTCTACATAATCTTAATAGAAAAATGGAGGTAGGTGATGGAAAACGAGCAGAATTTGATAAAAACATGAGCCACCCCCCCCACAGCACGCATCATTGTTTTGCCCTATACAAAATACATATTTTATTGATAAATATTATTAATATTATACAATTCAAACCTTTTTTACTTTTTTCTGTTAATAACATATCTGCCAGTTATATCTGCCATTTATTTATTTATTTATTTATTTATTTATTTGCTCAGTCAGCTGATACAGACTTTGATCATTGGCTGCTTCATGTCTCAGAACTGGCCTCCAACTGTGCATACAGACTTGGTGAGGGAGGTGATTTGGCTCACTTTGATGAAAATGCAGCATTGTCTTAAACAGTACTGCAGATTTTGAAAATAAACATGGTCACTGTCCACAAGCGTGTCAATTTTTGCGAATTTTAATTTTCAACAATTTTTTTATTTTTCTACATCAACAGCTGACCTTCACATAGTGTGAAAATAACAAGATGAATAGACCAATAAAATTGCTCCAAAACTGCTTGTAACACAATCTCTTTACATTAACTCACACTGAAAGTAAAGAATGTTTTATGCCCTGACTTGTAGGATTACCATTTTGGAGATATAGCTTTTCTTTGGACAGTGATGATATGTATAAAACATTAGATTTAAAATACAAACTCCAGCAGGAGCTGGAGGAGCTGGGTCAGCACAGGCATACAAGAGTCTTTATTACGCTCAGGGGAAATCGAGGGCCGCTGCGTCCACCTCAGCCCCCCGACTTACCCCCTTCCTGCGTCCCTGGAAGTTTCTATGTACAGTCGAAATGCAAATTCAATGTATTGTTGATTTTCTAAATTAAAATAAGTTAACAGAGCCTCAACAAGAAGTGTGTAATAAAACTTTGGGCCTGCTGGTGTATGGGAGGCAAATCCAGCCAAAAAAGAAATTAAAATGAAAACAATAAAATGTAAACGCAAAACAGGCAAATGGAAACAAACACAGGCGCCATCTGCTGGAGATTTACTTTTCATTTCTCACGTTGCTTTTTCATTTTCAAGTTAACCAACATGCATATATATGTTAATTAGCACTAGGTGGGGCTGTGGGGTAGATTTTAGGACATCCTCAGACCTCAGTGTCAGAATGGCCTCATTCCTCAGACTAAACGACTTCAAGTCTCGAGAAAAAACATCATCATGTCTCAGATCTGGTGTAACTGAACATCAGACCAAATGCCTTCAGACCAAACGGCCTCAGATAAAAGGTATCAAACCAAACGCAAGCCTGGTCGAGCATAGACTGGTTCGTATAACTTAGAAGACTGTTGTGTATCTCAGTATAAATGCCAGTATAACATTTGCGTGTGTAGCCCCACCTAGTGGTAATTAACATATATTTGCATATTGGCAATAATGACTAAAATTAGATGACAAATAGCTGTTTTAAATGTATTTTTATGTTTGTCACAAATGACTCATGTGAAAAATTAAATTGCAAATGTAGGCATTTCATTACATTTTCAATTTTGGCAGGACATTTGTGCAGATGTTTGGAAAAAGAAATTGCAAAAAGAGGTTTGCATTTACATTTTATTGTTTTAATTTAAATGTCTTTTTTGGCTGGACTTACCTCCCATAGCTGGTGGATCCTGACCATGTAAGGGGTTAAACTGGGTAAATAAATATGGATTGTGCAATAAAATCTGCATGTTATATTTAAGCCTGTTTCCTGTAGAGGACGCATTTACTTAGAAAATCAACAAAACATATCATTTGACCAGGGGTGTTCAGACTTTTGGACATGACTGCATTCACAGAGATATGAAGCACTATGATTTATGAAGGATTTAGACTTTCGGTTCTTGTAGAGAACCAAGGATGACGTGTTAACCTGCCAAACGTGTGTGACATTTCATAGCTGTTAGTACTAAATTTGTCTTCAGCTTTGCATACAGTCTGTTCATATTCTCTGTGTTACTCTCCTCTTTGTGCTTCCAGTAAGTAGCATGGCAGCGTACCATCTGTCCAGATATGTAATGGACAGTACACATTACTGTCATGCTCTTCTTTCTTGTGTGCTAATGTTATGCTTTCAGTGTGTGTGAGTGCATGTGTGCGGGTGTGTGTGTGTGTGTGTGCACTCTTGCATGTGTACATATGTTGTATTTCTAATAAATTTGACTGTGTTCATCATTTTTCTGTCCCCATATAATTAGCTCACGTAATAGTCAAAGACATAAAGCCGAAGCTGTTAATTAGATGTTTATTACTATTAGTAAATGCTGATTACGTGTATTACTTGCTTTAATTTAGCTTAAAAAAACAGATTCTTGCATGTGTGATCACATCGGTCATATTAGGAGAAGCATATTTCAGCTTTACGTCCATAATAACTCCAAACCATTTAGATCTGTAACCGTTATAAGCAGTGCAGTGTGAAATGGTGCAGACTAATTGCGTAGCTTGTTCTGTAGGCTGGATGTTCAGCTAAAATGGGCCATGCACTCCCACACAGCTCGCTGTCAGTCACTCTAACTCTGAGAAGCTCACTTGTTTCTGGATGAGTGTGCGGAAGTGCTGCCGTGCTCCACCTTAATCTCAACCAGAATAACCAAAAGACCAGCTTTGCTCTCTTTCGCTGGTTCTAACTGGTTCTCAATTGTTCTGCAGTTTTAAAAGCTCAGAGCAAACAATACACTCGTATGCACAATAGCAGGTTTGGTTTATACAAAGTCACGACGTGGCCAAGTGTCCCATGATATTAAGTACCTATATGTAATAATAATATTCCGTCGCTGTCCAATGAAAATCTCCATTTTTTGTGATTTTTATTTTGTGCATCATTCGAGCTCAGCAGCTGTTCTTTACACTGTGTGAAAATGTCACCATGACTGGACCAATAGAAATGCTCCAAAACTGCTTGGAATAAAATCTTTTTCTATTGACTTACATTGAAAGTAGAGAACGTTTCTGCCCTCTCCTCTAAAGGTGCTCTTTTGAAGATACTTGTTTTTCTTTGGACAGCAACGAAATGTAAGTGTCTATATATATGAATTCACCCCAGATGTATTACATATACGTAAGTGTGTATATTAATATACTCTATATGAATTACTTATTCAAATGTATCTCTATGTATGTAATAATATGTCAGATATATATTATACACATGAAAGTGTAAGTTAAAATTAATAAGACCCATATGTTTTACATATGCGTAATAATAATAATAATAATTATTATTATTATTATTGATGTTTTATTATTATTGTATTATTATTATTATTATTATTATTATTATTATTATATGTATGTTTATACCAGGAAAATGCTCTTTATCTGCTCTCTTACACACTCAAACTGATGGTAAACAAACATACATGAAAAAAGGTGGCAATACCACTCCATAACAATACGCACCACATGCACTAAATATAAATAATTATCTATAAGCAGTTCATAGGAGGATTTTATCAAATTATGCTAAATTAAAAGTTTAAAAAAGTAAAAAAAAACACATTTTTTTCCTTGACAGCAACTATATGTAATAATAGTAATATGGTCCACATGCATTATATATATATATATATGTGTGTGTGTATAGAGAGAGAGAGAGAGAGAGAGATTTATATATACCTACAGTATATGTAATAATATATGTTTATATTATTATATGTATAAGTGTCAATATGAAATAACAAATATTTGAAATATGAAATGTTTTTACTCTTTCCGTTTTTAAAAAATTAAACATGGAGCTTTTATAAAAAGCACTTTAAAAAGTCAGGATGATTTAATTGGTCCTGTAAGTTACGTTTTTTCTGGTTTCAACAAAGTCAGGATCTTTTTTATCCTGGAAATGCACAAAAACAAACACTCTCTCTCACACACATACGCAGATCTTAATGGTGGGCCGTTAATTTGCCCTGCATGTCTTCCTTCCTTAACTTAAGGAGCTTTTAAGAAGGCACGAAGGCGTGGTGGTGGTTTTAATGTGCTCTCAAGATACTCTTACATAAGCAGTTTTTGGAGATTACATAAACAGGAATAACTGGTGGTGTTTGTCCTTAGCAACCAGTCTTTTTATCTTCAGTAATTCAGATTATCTTCTTTTCTCTCTAAAGCTGCACGTTCTGACAGAAAGCAGGTCAGAACAGAGCTGGAGAAAATGCTCAGAGATAATAATGACCTCAGCAGTGTCCTGTGAAGTTGATGATATTATTATAGAGCGCAAAACCCGCACGGCCTTGCTGAGTAACCCTGCAGCGCGTGTCGTGCTGAGCGCCTGCTGGTGGAGCTCAATCGATTGCTTTTCTCTCTCACTCTTCACAGCTACACAGATGGGGACTGAAAAATGGGGCCAAAGAGTCTAGACCTCCAGCTCAGAGAGACCAGAGAGGGACGAGGGAGAAGATCACTGACCACAGACTCAAAAAGAACCATCAGCAACAGCTTCATCTAATGGATAAAAATGTTTGTTGACAGCATTAAAAAGTCAGCAAAATGACACTGAATCTGATTCATATGAAGACACTCAGCCTATCTAATGCTTAAGGAGGCCTGCAAAGGCTTTATTTAGATAAAAGAGATGTTTCTTAGAAGGGAACTTCCACCAACTTTTCAGAATTTCTGTTTAAATAAATCATCAAGATTTAAAGTCATTCAGAGTGGTTTGGTGTGAAACGCTCTGTTCTAGAGAAACTTACTGAGTCAGAATTGTTCACAGTGATGGTGATAGGAACCAGACGTCCACCTCTAAAAGCTCCGTTACAGAAAGTGAAGGTTTTCGTGCTCATTCATGGTGTAGTGGGGACATGCAGGCTGTTATGAGGCAAAATAGTCCCCAAAGAAAGTTTAAGAACTATTTTATCATCACCATTATTACATATAAAACTAGGTTCGCTGGTGGTTTGGGATAGTAAATAAAATGGCTGTATTTGTGTTGTAGTCATGGCAACCCCTGGTTCCTATCACCACCACTGTAAAGAAATCTGTTAATGAACCATTTCATATCAAACACTATTCATCATCAACAATCAGCTTTATGTCCATCGAAGTGTCTTCACAGGTAAGAAGAGCAGGTTCTAAACGATGATTTGTTAGTTTTCTTTTCTAAACTGTTGTTAAAAGCACATGTTGGAACTCTTTTGTCCCAAAGCTGGTTTAAATATCTGAAAAGTTGTGGTGATGAGTGCTGACATCACAACAAAGGGGTAAAATGTCTGGCCTTTGGCTTTATTCCCAAATGAGCCCTGTCACTTATATCAACGTGTGTATATTGTTTTCCGCTAATCAACCTGCTTAGCTTTGATATGTTAAGTTACTGCAAACCGACAGAGAAAACACGGTCTTTCGTGTCTATATCTACATTTTTATGGTACTTTTGTGAGTTCAGTTCGTGCCTTCAACATGGTGGTGGTAGTATTGGGGAAGACTGATTGAGGGAGGGAGGAGAACTCTGAGAACTTGGGCTGGAGTTCTTCTGCCTATAGCTAGAAGGCCAGACCCCCCTCATAGCTGTAGTAGGACTGAAACAGGACTGGGGAACAGAGAGGAGATGGGGTGACAGTGGGGATTGTGAACGCTTTGTCATGGAACGAAAGACGAGGATGTGAATTTATAGGGCGTTAGTTTGGAAGAAGGAGGGTTTTCAGACATGTTCCTCCTGCCAAATTTCAGTTATAACATTTTTTTTTCCTTGAGGTCCACTTATAAGCCAAAATGCTTATTATTCATTTCTACATGAGCCTTACCCAACCTCTCTTTATGCCTGAGTTAAACAGGCTGTTTTTTTTTTTTACTCTGCCTTCAAAATGTAAATGAGCTCTGTTCTGATTGGCTGCCTCATTCAGAAAGCACTCATAGCTGAAAAGCTGTGGAACTTGAGTATTAATGGGCAGGGCTATGGGCTGCTGTAGGCTGAAGAGGTGGATATTTGAATTATCACAAAAACAATTAATCCGATACATTTTTGCAGCACAGTTTCTATATGTGAACCATCTATACTGGATTATGAATGGTATTTCAAACTATTTTAAAAAGCAGGTGAAATTTGTTCTTCCATGACTTAGGCCCTTTAAAATGGAAAAAACTACCTGTCCCCAAACTATTGATGGGCAGTGTGTATCAGTGAAATGTTGTAACAACAAATTACTGTAATGAAAAAATAAAAATCAGATCAAAGTCGACTCCTGCATATCTAATGACAAAGCTGGAGCTTCTCCAGGCTGATCCAGGACAAAGTGGGGTCTAATCCACAGAGAAATGAAGTGTCAGGACTTCAAAAGCCATGAAAGTGAATTCTTTGCTCAAGTCATCTTTTCCAGGGTTGTAAAGCTGCTCAGAGTCAGCGTGAGAACGGACAGAAAGGTTTCTATATTTATATTTGGCTATAATACGTATTTACAGTGCTTCTTTGCTCTGGTATGTTCCTGATGAGGGCCTTTTGCCTTCCTCCTGCTGTCGGCTGTATTTGATGGAATTGTATGCAGCACTTTTGATACAGATGAATGAACCGTTCCAGAATTAAAATTGATGTTGGTGTACACGCATGGAATGTCTGCTGAAGCAAGCTGATAAACTGAGGTTTGCTATGAAATCAAAAAAATAAATAATAAATTAAATAAACTTGAAAGGAGCTGTCATTTGTAGCTTTTATTATTGTCAACCGACCCCAGGAAGAAAACCTTGTAACTCCAAAATGGTAACTTTACAGGAGAAGGAAAAAATCTACTTACTTTGACTTACTTTTAATGTAAGTGAGTGGAACCAGACTTTTTTCCAAGTCGTTTTGGGTTGTTTCTTTTGGTCCATTCTTCATGAAATTAACAGAAAATGTAAAGGACAGCAGGCATTTTCAAATTAAGTCAAAAACTAAAAAGCAGATATGCTTCTACAAACACATTTTAATATGAGAATTACTGTTTGTTTGCTTAATTTAACACATTGAGAAAAAATAACACAGTGGCCTGTGCAAAAGGTACAATATGTTTCAAATGTTTTTTTCTAATAAGTTAAATTCAGCAAATTAACAGAAAAATGCCATATTTAGGTGTGTTCTCTGTAGGGGATGTGTTCACTTATTTTTACCTACAAAATCAACGAAACATCATTTTTTTGTCTGGGGATGTTCAAACATTCCCATACAGCTGCATAACCTTTAGCCACTATGCCCATAAAAATATACTGAAAAAAAAATAAATATATTGAAAAGTATATATGACTTGGGAAAATGTCTGGTTCCATTGACTTACATTAAAAGTAAAGTAGGTTTTAGCCTTTTCCTGTAAAGTTACCATTTTGGAGATATGAGGTTTTCTTCCCATACACTATTATTTTAAATACATCATTCAAAGATTTGGAATCACTGTTTTCAATAATTTATAAGCATTATGGTAGCAGATAATTACAAATCTTTTTTATATGTGTCCATAATGTCCATAATGATGAACAGAGCTATAGCTTACTGTAAAGTAACTAGTTGAAGTTATAATTAAATTACAATCCATAATATGTTTTATTTCAAATGTTCTAACCATTTCTCATGGCAGATAACATGACAAACATTCTTGTTAATAGATTATTACAGCATATTATCCTTAAAATATTTCTTCTTGTCGGCAAAATACTTAAAAACATTGACTTAAACATGTAAAAGTCTCTTATGTCTAGTTCACAGTATTATCTGCATTGTGTAAATTATTGTATATGAAATAAGAACAAATATTAATATGAAAAGTTTTTGAATTTGAAACTTGTGAACACTAGCATATATACTAATATATTGAAAATATGTCACAATTTATTTTAGAATACAATTACAAACATATATAATACAATAATTACAAAACAAGCAAACTGTGTATATATTGCACAACATAATACAGTCCAATAGTCACAATATGTATTAGAATAAATTGTAATATTATAGAATATGTTACATTGTATTTAGCACATATTTTGGGTGTGGAACAGAACATATTACAACATACAGCAATATATTCCATATTTTCGTTCGGGCATTCAGGACAGATTAGTCGTCTGCTGCCCCTGTCAGTACAGCGTATTAATCAGAGTGAGGCTGTTATCAGTCATTGTTAGGATGTGAATGTAATATTGTTCTGCGAGAGCTGGAGGTGACCGCTGCGTAGTGAAGAGTGACAGAGGATCAGTGGGCAGCCTGTGGCCCAGACAGCTGCTTATGTCACTTCTGTTAGACACAGCTGATTGGGTCAGTCTGCAGTGCTGGCCTAGAGGACTTATTACATTACATGGACATTTCAGTCATGACATCATCACCAAAAACTGATTTCATACACAATCAGCTTTATTCTATCAAGTGCACAGGCTGAATGGCAGAATGATGCATGTTAAAAGAGCCCCTGCACTCAAAAATGTGCTTTTTTAAATGGTTAGTTCCTCATGAATGGCTTATTATGGTTATGTAGAAGATATCACTCCAGTTAACACTTTGAAAGACTTTCTGAGTAATTTAATAGAGAAATGCTTGGCTATATATAAACTCATAAAATAGACTTCAGCTTGGTCTAATGTACTAAAATCTAGTAATTAAAGGATAATGATGTGGGAACCAGAAACTTTTAAAGTCAGTGTGAATAGGAAATTATAGTGCATTTTCCTTCCATACGTTAATGTATTTCCCAGTAAAACACAGCATAGCGAGAGGTCATTACACTTTGATCAAACATTTCAGGAAAACTGGATTGAGAGAATTATTTTTTTTTAATAATATGGTACAATTTTGATATTTTGATTTGTATTCTGAATGCAGGTTGACTTTAAATACAGAACATGTGTGCTAATTTATCTAAACTTAAATAAACATTGCGACTCATATAAATCACTGAAAATATGACAAATTATCAAATTGTGTCACATTTTTGATGATGTACCCGCTTTTTGCAGGCCCCCTAGTGGCCATTCCACCAACAGAATAGAAATTGACTTTGATAGCTTTGTTTAAAATAATCAAATCCCTGACTCTGTTATCAGATGGACTAGGACACTGTCTCTCTCTGTGTGTGAAATGTTGTGACTCTGTGTTGAGCTGCTAGTGAGCAATGAGGGGTGAAAGATGAGGGGTGAGAACCCCCTGCTGTGAAAACTATTCACACTTCTCCACAGAGACAACTGTGCTGAGATGAAATGGACGACTGCATCTTTCTACATATCAAACAATCCAAAATACTACTGACATCATAAACAAACAGCATTTAAATTTGAAAACACTTTAATAAATGTTGACTACAAGATGAAGGTCCAGTTCTGTACGGCTTTTGTAAATCATGCACACTTCTACCAATGTTAGTGAAGAAAGAAGTGCATGTTTCAACCGAGAGACCTCTGAAAATTGCATGTTTTGTTTTCTGTGGAAAAGGGTTAAATGGCACTTTTAGCAATACTTTATTATGTGGAATGTGTTATATATTCGCTCTGTACTGTCATCCATCAATATTAGATATTAGTATCTATTCAA